ATTGTTGATATCATTGTGTTGGAAATATTGATGATACGAAGAGAACTATTGCCTATGTTGTTTCCTTGGGTCTAGTGTGTATTCATGGAATTCAAAGAAGATAGAAATACTGGCGCAATCTACCGCAGAGGAAGAGTATTTAGGAGTATCTACAGATTCAAATCAAGTTATTTTATTAAGGAAAATTCTGAAAAAAAATCTTAAAATCTTAGACATTTCATGAAAAAATCTTGAGGGATATTTCAAGTTTGACAGATGTTTAAACTCTTCACTGAAGACACTTTTAAGTTTCGTATGATTCATTCTTCCACAAATAGGTAGGAATAGATCGTTAGTGGGTGGGTGATAGCCTCTTGCACAAGCAAATGGAGCCCCACAAGCGGTAGAGGTTGAGTTTGACCTAGCGGTCAAGGAAGAAGAAATGTTACTTTAAAGATTGAGATCACAAGAAGACATTGTCAGCAGAGTCTATTATATAGGTTGAGCAGGTTCCCGTCAACCAGATAACATAAGGCCATCCAAGCCTACGCCAAGATTTATTGCCAAGAAAAATCAACATGACACTCTAGCAATGATCCGCAACTTTATTGATGCTACATCTAAGGTGCGGACTTCGACTGTTATTTCAACTAGTCCCCATATTGGAGAGGACGCTTAGACTTCAGCACAGGAAGTAGCACTAGGTGATTATAATTCACTGGTGAATTCTTCTACTATGGATCCTCGTTTATTGTTTAATCGATTTTTACAATTGCACCGCAAAGGAAGCTAGTTCTATCATGCCTTCCAAGGAGCAAAAGATGTTAGGACGGGTAATGAGATTGGGTCCTCCAATGTTCTCAGGTTCTGTAGGAGAGGATGACCACATGTTTTTTAGCGAATTTCTAAGAGAGGGTACATAACCTTGGTCTAGTTATATCTTACATAGTTTATAACATTGCTTTCAATATGGATGGGCTAGGAAATAGTGGTGGAGGTCAATCATAGAGTGTATATTAATTGGGTCACCACTCACCTCCTATGTTAATAGCTCAGTTCTCTGATTCATTGTTAGAAGAATGTACCTTGTATCTTGAAAGAGAGGTTGTCGAATGTCTTCATAGATCTATTGTAGGAAGTATGTCAATTTTAAAGTATAATATACGACTTCATTAGCTAGCCAATCATACAACTACGCTTATGGTTATTAAGCATACGCGAGGGTGTAGGTTGGTTAGAAAGTTGGCATTTCTTCTTTGGCTTGCTACAGTGTAGATGGAAGTGTTGGGATAATAATTTAGTAGATAATTTATTATGTGCACAACATAGTGATGATACTTTTTGAGGCTTATCACTACTAAAAATATAAACTTAAGTGACAATTATTTTGCGGCAATCAGCTAATTGCCGCTAATATATTTACGCCAGGCAAAATATCAATGGCTAATGTGTAATGACCATTAATAAATATATATTTAGTTGCAATTAGAAAGAATAGCTGCAAAGAGTTTTTTTTTGAAAAATAAAAACTCCCGCCTTTCCTTATTTTTTTAAGTTTCGCTTTTCACTAAAGAAAAAGGTTTTCGCAACCTCTGAGGAAAACATTAATTACCACAAATCTCTTTTACACGATTAAGGAAAATAGTACTACTAAAAAGATCTCCCAAACTTATAAGGATTCCAAAACCTAACATCTTTTCTCTGACTACCACTTAATATCTCTTCTACAAAATAATCAAGTTAAGAAATTATATAGACCCTCGTTTGTTATGATTCATGTTTTTACTGTTAGGATTGAATCCACAAACACACATTTGATTAATAAAGAACAGAAGAACTTTAGAGAGAAAGAGATGAGAGATCTAGAGAGAAAAAGAGAGAAACCAATATTTCGTGGTAACACCTCATTAGTAAACTTCCACGGTGGTGGGGTATATGTATTAATAAATCATAGTATTTTTTGTTACAGAGAATAAATGGAGAATAAATAGTAAAGCCTAAAATTTAGGTCGGGGCGCGTAATCATATATATATAAATCAGGCTCCACAATCTAACATTTACAACAATTTTTGTTTTGATTCCATGAGCTCGTTGTTATATAGTATATTCAGGCAAGTGGCTTTTAGTTTATCTGTAACATTGATCATTCAAAATTTCTATTCTGAATTTAAGAACTAGAACAAAAAACCACATGTTTCATTTTACCTTGACTTAAGATCTTTTTTTTTTTGAAATTTCAAGTTTAGCGATTACATACATCCTCTGTTGTTTAGATTCATGTTACTAAAAAAATTTATATTTCCACTCCACGAACTCTTTTGTTGACATTATCCTAACTAGAAGCTTATTTAAAACCTTTGGTCTGTTTTGTGGTGGCTTTAGCTTTGTCCTTGAACTTCTATTTAATACTCTTATTGTTCGTCTAACTTTTTTATCCAGATGTTTATTAAAACATGTGCTTTCTAGATTCTTTATCAGCTTTCATAAAAATATCAATTAGCTTCATTTATCTTTAAGTACGTAGTGGTATATGGAGCGAGCATAGAATTTGTCAGTACCGATCAATAAACAATGAGCAGTAATCTAAGTGGTTCAACTATTCTGCGTAACTTTGTCAGATCTACCACTGTTTGGTAAGAGTACTTCTGTTCCTCATCTTTCCCTACTATCTTCATTCCCAATTTCTTGCTATTATTCTATTTAGCATTTCTCAACTCCAAAGCTCTAACTTTTTCTGCAAGAGGTACTTCTTCCTCACCCTAATTGCCTTTTGTGACATTGGTGGGTGCAAGAAAGACAACTTAACTGACTGAATCTCCAATACTTCAAGGATGTAATGGCCTCCTTCATCTCGAACTCGGCCCGCCGTTGACCCTCCAACTCCTTTCGGATGTTCTCAATCTCCTCAAGGGTGAAGTCTTCAAGGGTTTTGAATTTACTGCCCGTCCCATTCAAGCGCCGGCCTAAGATCTCAACGGCCTGCCTCACCATTTCTACCCTTGTAACCCATTATTCTCTGGCAGTGACGTCTACGACATCCTCACCTATTTCTTCGTCACTTCTATCGACAATTGTGGGTAGGTGAGATGTTTGCGCCTCGCTTGATGTAAGCTCAGGCAGTATTTCTTCGTTCCCCTTCTTATGCTTCTTCCCTTTCTTGTTCTTCTTTCCTCCATCCATGCGGACGTTTGTGGTGCTAGCGTCGTAAACGTCTCCTTCGTTCGTTATTCTCTTATGATCAACCTGCTCTGGTACAACTTTGTTACGGACATAGAGTATTTGCTAAGACTCCGTGTGGCGCTTGACAACTTACTCACGATTCTTTCACGATCTCGTAAGCTCAAGTAATCCTCTAAACTCGGAACGCTAAGAGAATGCAAAAAGAAAGACTAAGAAAGACTTTGGAAGAGAGGACTTGTATTAGCTTGAGAGCTTTGCTTACAACTTTGGTTGGTTTGTTGGATGAGTTACAAATGAGAGGCCCTCATATTTATATTAATCCCTAAGGTCCTAAGAGTAAATAAATATTGTTCTACAGGTCTCTAAGTAATTACACTTTAGTACATGTTCTAGAGAATTCTACACTCTCTAGAATATGTCTAGCTCTTCCAAAGAGGCTCTAAAACGTTCTAGACAATTCTAGGGAATTCTCTAGTCTTCTCCAAGGATCTAGAAGGGTCTAAAGTCTTATACAAACCTCTTCAAGGATCTAGGTCCTTTTGCCCCATTCGGAGGATGAAAAATGGTCGAAATTGTGGCGGGACACACACTACGCTCTGTATACATTAGCATGGGATAACATTATAGGATTTATGTCCTATTATGTTGGCCTTCAGGATCAGATTAATGATTAACAGGGACAGTCGAGGGCATTCGTATTTCATAGTTAGAGGTGAAATTCTTGGATTTATGATAGACGGACAACTGCGAAAGCATTTGCCAAGGATGTTTTCATTAAACAAGAACGAAAGTTGTGGGCTCGAAGACGATCATATACTGTTCTAGTCTCAACCATAAATGATGCTGACCAGGTATCGATGGATGTTGCTTTTAGGACTCCACCGGCACCTTGTGAGAAATCAAATTTTTTTGGGTTCCGGGGGGATTATGGTCGCAAGGCTGAAACTTAGAGGAATTGACGGAAGGGCACCACCAGGAGTGGAGCTTGCAAATTAAATTGACTCAAAACGGGGAAACTTACCAGGTCCATACATAGTAAGGATTGACAGACTGAGAGCTCTTTCTTGATTCTACGGGTGGTGGTGCATGGCCGTTCTTAGTTGGTGGAGCGATTTGTCTTGTTAATTCTGTTAACGAATGAGACCTCCACCTTCTAACTAGCTATGCGGAGGTATCCCTTCGCGGCCAGCTTCTTAGAGGGACTACAACCTTTTAGGCCGCAGAAATTTGAGGCAATAACAGGTCTGTAATGCCCTTAGATGTTATGGGCCGCACGCGCGCTACACTGATGTATTCAACGAGCTTATAACCTTGGCTGACAGGCCCGGGTAATCTTTGAAATTTCATCATGATGGGGATAGATCATTACAATTGTTGGTCTTTAACGAGGAATTTCTAGTAAGCGTGAGTCATCAGCTTGCGTTGACTACGTCCCTGCCCTTTGTACACACTGCCCGCCGCTCCTACCTATTGAATGATCCGGTGAAATATTCGGATCGCGGTGACATGGGTGGTTTTCTACCCATGATGAAGCGAGAAGTCTATTGAACCTTATCATTTAGAGGAAGGAGAAGTCGTAACAAGGTTTCCGTAGGTGAACCTACAGAAGGATCATTGACGAAACCTACACAACAGAACGACCCGCGAACTCTTGTTAAACACCTGGGGGTGGCGCTCGCTCGTCGCATGCCTCCCTCTCATCGACCGACGCACGCAAGCTGTTTAGGCGACCAACGAATCCCGGCGCAAAAAGCGCCAAGGAATACTACAATCGGCAGCCATCCCTTCGCAACCTGTTCGCGGATCGTGGGGGTATGCGCGCTTCTATGTAAACACAAATGATTCTCGGCAATGGATATCCCGGCTCGTATCGATGAAGAACGTAGTGAAATGTTATACTTGGTGTGAATTGCATAATCCCGTGAACCATCGAGTCTTTGAACGCAAGTAGCGCCCGAAGCCATTTGGCTGAGGGCACATCTACCAGGGCATCACGCATCACGTCCCCCCCGCATGTTGCAGGGCTGAGCACGGGGGCGGAAGATGGCCTCCCGTGCGCCCCGATTGCGTGGCCGGCCTTAATGCGAGTCCATGTCACCGCAAGTGGTTATTTAAACTCAACTCTCTCTTATTTTTGCGGCTACAGTCCATCGCGCGTCCGGATTCCCCGACCCTCACTACCCCTAACCAGGCGCTCCGACCACGACCCGAGGTCAGGCGGGATTACCCGCTGAGTTTAAGCATATCAATAAACAGAGGAAAAGAAATTTACAAGGATTCCCCTAGTAACGGCGAGCGAACGGGGAACAACCCCAGCCGTAGAATCGGGCGGCTCCGTCGTCCGAATTGTAGTTTAGAGAAGCGTACTCAGCGGCGGACCAAGCCTAAGTCCCCTAGAAGGGGGCGCCAGAGAGGGTGAGATCCCCGTCGTTCCCGGACCCTATCGCACCACGAGGTGCTGTCTACGAGTCGGGTTGTTTGGGAATGCAACCCAAATCGGGCGGTGAATTCCGTCCAAGGCTAAATACTGGTGAAATACCGATAGCAAACAAGTACCGCTAGGAAAAGATGAAAAGGACTTTGAAAAGAGTGTTCAAAGAGTGCTAGAAATTGTCGGGAGGGAAGCGGATGCGGGCCGACGATGCGTCCTGATCGGATGACAGAGTCAATCAAGAAATTTTCTAGGTTCCTCAACCTTCGAACAGAGTAAGTATTTAAGTTTTTCTTGACATCAAAGTTGGTTACCTTTTGCATCATTTTCATTGTTAGATTTCTCCATGAGAGAAAACAACCCATGAAAAACATTTGTATCGTCTTGAACAAACACAATGGGGGAATCAAAGGGCATTCTGACTCTTCTAATTCACTTGTGAGCTTCCGCATACTGCAAGAGCTTTCATCCTGACATGATTACCTGCAACTTTCTTTACATTTTTATCGAGGACCAAGTCCCTTTTTTGGCTTTTTCGTCTCCAGGTATGTAATGTTCTTTGTTTCCATCTTTGTCCATCGAACAATTTCTCATGAAAATGAACAACCTTTCCACACTTGTAACAGATGTCACTGGCAGTTGCAGTTCCGGGAAGATTTTTGTTTTTCCTGAACCCTCCGTGTTTTCTCACAATTTTCTGAAATCTCTTGGTGAGATAAGTGATGTCATACTCTTCACTAGATGCTTCACCGGATGAAATATTGAGGACTAGTCACTTGTCCTTTTTAGCCCCCTACTTTGAAATGTCTTGATTTTTGTTCATTTCATGGGTTTTAAGATTCCTAATGAGAGCATCAATTCTCAATACTTTCAGATCTTTAGCCTCAATAATAAAATTCACTTTACTTGCCCATGACTTAGGAAGGATTCAAACAACTTTCCTGGCCTGCTTGCTTATGCTGATAGGTTCATCGCAAATTTATAACTCATTGGTTATGAATGAGAGTTTTGTATCCATATTGTGCATAGTTTCTTCCTCCTTAATTGTGAAAATTTTCATATTGGGCGGTCAACATGTCCACCTTTGATCCCTTTACATTTTTTGTTCCCTCATGAGTAGTCCTCAAGCAATCCCAAATTTCTTTCGTTGATTCACACACAAAAATCCGATTGTTTTCCTCAACACCGGCTCCACACAACAACTTCTTTGCTTTGTAGCTTTTCTCAATCTTGTTTCTGTCCACTTCATTGTACTGTTGTCGAGTCTTTGGTATAACTTATGTTATTTCACCTTTCTTCACTTCAACTATTGGAATGAAGGATCCATCAAACACTATGTCCCATAGCTCGCTATCTTCAGCCATGTGATAATCACGCATCATTGTTTTCCCCCAGCTATAGAACTAGCCATTGAATTGTGGTGGTCGTGTTGATGATTGTCCCTCTTATATGTTCAATGCATCCATTCTTTGACAGGATTACCTCTCCTAGTCTTAACCAGCTAAAGAGCACCTGCTCTGATACCAAATGATAAAATGTGTGCGTCCACTACAAGTCAACGGACCAGGACCCTTGACTGAACTCGATAGATATTTCTAAGCAAATAACAACAATAACATAACACAAACAATTTAAGTGGAAACCTCCTTGCTTAAGGGAGTAAAACCACGACCTATTGCACAGGATTTGGAACTGCTTCATTAATCTTCCTCAAGAAAAAGTGAACCCAGTTATAACCAATGTGAGAGAAAGTTATTTATCTCACGACCAAGTAATCTACCTATTACATGAAGATCCTAATAGGATACAACGCCGCCGACTAACCTATCACGCCTAAATAACTTAGAATTTTTCAAGCAGATACAACACCGCCCACTAAAACACCAATGATTTATGTTTACCATAGGCAGGTACAACATTGCCCAATAAATAAGTTAACTCTAACTAATTTATCAAATAAAAAATGTAACACCAAACAACTATATGATTCCTATATAGATGTAGGATCAAATTTACACTGTATGTTCAGAAGAGTAAATCCTAAGACCACTAAGCTTGCAGCTCTATCTGGTTCAAATTTGATCTTAAGGATGAATCTATACTTTTTTATCAGCCTTTGCAGGAGTTCTTGAATATTTTTAAAGTTACAAAAACTAAGGTTGTGACTATTGGACATTAAGTTATTGAAGAATAGTCAGAACCTTCGAGACCATGCCATTGGTCGTGGTCTCTGCACTTTCTACCAAAGTTTGAGAGTGTTCCCTAACCACTTGTACTTTTTCAAGCCTGGCAGTGAGAAGTATGTTTCACCAAGGACCACGTTCCTTCATAAGTTCATTGGGTGTGTTAAGTCATTAGTTGGAGACTGTGCACCAGCCAATTGTACCTTTTTCCAGCCTGGCAGTATAGAATTTATACCACCGTAGACTAGGTCCCTTCTCAAGGTCCCTGAGTTTGTCAAATCATGAAAACTACAAATAAAACTTCCCATGAATATTTCATTTCAAAACGGGGAATTGGTTGTTTTTCCAATTTACAACATTTTACTATTTTTCCAGTATCCACAACAATGACTCAAAAGGAGATTTTTATCATGGTGTTGTAAGTTTATCAATTTTTGGGACTTTTGCTTTTAAAATAATTAATTTTTTTGACACATTCTTTTGTTAATTCTTGATTCCAACACTTCAAGCATGTTGTCATCTGAAGAAAATATTCCTTAAGAATTTATTGTTAATTCATATAGCTGCAAGCTACATAGTATATTCAATATAAAAGTTTAACACTTTGGAATTTAGTTGATTAGATATTTCATTCTTTGAAAGACACGCTTGCCCGTCTTGTTAGATAATTTTTCACTTTAGTTATATAATTTTGACAAATACAACCATTTGAACTTATTAGAAGCAGAGTTTACAAGAAATTATCATACAACATTGTTTCTTATTGATGTCAGTGAGGTGGTTCTAGATGATAATAATTAACGATTTCTTCATACAGGGCGTACCTATCCTTTGGAAACCCTTCGTCAGAAAAGTACATTATATTTATAATAAAAAAAGTAATTTTAATGGCAAAATAACACATTTTGGACTCCCTTGAAAAACAATAAAATTTTTCTAGTTTAGTGATTTCAGTCGTTCAACTCTTACTAAGTTCTTTGCAACTTACAGTGCGTGGGTTCGATTCCCGTTATTTACATTTCATTATTTTATTTTCATTAAAAATTTAGATAAAATTTAAAAGAATTAGTTAATTTAAAGTTAATAAGAAAATCCTATATATTTATTCCATTAAGCTACTAAAAGTGAAAATACTTACATAAATTCTTTTAAATATAACTCGATTCTATTATTTAACTGAAATATCTCTCTTTTTCTTTGTTAGTTCACTTCCTATCAGATAAATGTGAACACTAAAACTAAATATTATGTAGTTTGATTTAAAAAAAAAATTGGTACAATTTAATTTCAAAAGTTAATCATTACTCTTATGTAGTTTGATTTACAAAATTTAAGTACACCCATTCTTTAAATTATTTTTACGAGTTATGAGATTTTTGGACACCCTTCGTAAAGTTTCTGGCTATGCCACTACCTTCATGTGTGTATGAATTTACTAAAAATATGTTCATAGTTCATAGTTTGGCCTCCAGATGATTTTTAAATGATAATGAGCTCTTCTCTTAATTGTTTTCTTATACATTTTGCTTGATGTCAATTTATAATTTTCGAAGTCAAAAAAGTTACCCGTTAATATATATTTTAAGAATGCAGGAGAAAATATAAAATAAGAAGATGTAAAATAGCGGAACTTATGGTAGTTTAGAAACAAGACATGAAGTAATCTAACAAGTGACTGTAATATTTAGTGGCTATTACGACATTTCTAGCAAGTCCTCTTTTTTTTTCATGGATAACAACAAGTCTATAGAGTAGGATAAACATTTTATGAATTATACCTGCCTTTTAAATTTTATTATGTGGTGATTTTTATTCAATAGACCTTTTAATTTTAGTATATGGACTTCTGTATACTTCAAGTTCAATTTTGTTGTGATCATTTGTAGGTTGAAAATTTTGTACGAGAGTAACTTATGATTTTAGAATTATGTAATTTAATTACTATTATAGATTTTTTGAATGCAGTATAAAATAAAGAAAAAGGACATGTAACGTGATAAAACTGATGCTATGTGAGGCAAGTCATAAAGGGATCAAAATTGTTGGCCTTCCGAAATCATGGAGGTCTGCACTTACCATTTTTCATACACTTGGACTGTAAGTAATTTGATTTGTATGGACAAGTGTAATATTTTGTCTTTTTATTGATTTTAACTAATGGTGTATCGCAAACAATCTTTCTATCCTCCAAGACAGTGATAGGTAATATGTCTACACTACTCTTCCAATACCTTACTTGTGAGACTACAATAATATGTTGGAATAATCATTTTTATGTGGATCATTTTTAATTTTAGTAGTTTAAAATCACTTTATAAGAAAACAAATCTTGTGAATTAGATTAATGAGGACTAACATATGATGCTTCAAGTTTTTACTT